TTAATCCTCTAATGACTTAGTTGTACTAATGTTTACAGCTTTAACACACATCTATTACGATAAAAATTAGTCATGTAAAAATTTAGTTGTCCTGAAGTTTACAGCTTTTACACACAACTATTACCCCATAAATTAATCAGGTAAATAGTTATGAGTACTTAAGTTTACCACTTTTACACACAGTCAAGTACTAAATATATAAAATGATCCAACGACTTCTCAGTACTTAAGTTCACAACTTCTACATGCCTTTAATACAGAAATTAATAATCTAAAGGTTTTCAAGTACTGAAGTTTACCTGTATGTATTCTCATGTGAACTTTTAAACTTCCCTTTGTGGCAAAATAAGAGTTACACACATGACAACGGAAACGCTTGCCACCCTGATGGGTCTTCATGTGACTGTCAAGTGTAGACTTTACAGTAAAACTTCTGCCACACAAGCCACAGCAGAAAGGTTTTTCTCCAGTATGAGTGCGAATATGACGTATGAGATCACTGAGTTTTTTAAAGCTTTTTGGGCAGTCTTTACACTGATTTTGATACTTGGGGAGATTTTTCAGCACTTCATTCTTATCCTAAAAACGAAAAAGAATTCTATTTCTATTTACCTGTTGGTCATAAACAACTGAAGTGGACTAAAGAAAACACCAAACTGTTTAACAACCACATGATACAGTATCAAATTTCAAACATAATCTGAGACAATTTCATCAAGCCTACATTATTAGTGGAAACACGGACAAATATAAAAACTTCTTATTTATTAAAAACAAAATGTTATTATAATGCTTAAAATGGGTGGAGTTTCCTAGAACCAGTATAACACAGTGACAAGTGGTAAAACAAAGGATACATTGGGCTTCACATATATTTTTAGAGAGCACTGTTTATTGATATTTTTCGAAAAAGTTTCATAAAAACCTAAACGATTAAAAATTATTAAATTATACAACTTTTTTCATGTAGAGAGTAGACACTAGGAAATTTGTACATAGTTTCATATTATTTGGTTAAGTAATTTTGCTATGAGAATGTAGAAGAATGGATGCACTTAAAACTCCCCCACCTCCCAATCATTACAAACTTTCAACTACCAAATGCAAACTTATGATTTCACCCTAAAAGACATTTTTACTGGCCTTGATTTCACTGATGCGGTTCTTCTCAGCTGCAGATGCGACAAAAACTTTTTCCGAGACAGAATTCAATTCATCAGGGTTTTGCTGGGCCACAGCTTCAACTTGTTCATCTGACAATCTTATCACAGTACTGCGTGACTTCTTCACCTTCGATGGATTTTCATCCCCATCTTGGAAAATATCAGAAAAGGAAATCTAAAGCATGTAACTTCATAAAATAATTTTGATTAACAACAAAATTTTCTTAGATTACACTTACTGGAAAAAAACAACATCTACTTCTTGCAACTAGCAGGTGTAATAATAAAATGTTTATTTAAATTTTTTTATCTAAAATTCTGGAGTGTAGTATATCTTCTTCAAAACCATGGTTAAATAAATACCTTTATCTCCTAAAAATACCACAAAAACAGAAAATTATGTTTCCAATATGTATCTATTATAATGACAATTAGTTAAAAAATGAGGTTTATTGATGTATAATCAACTCCTTAACTTTCTTAAGAGTAATTTTTAATTTTCTAAAATTCTTTAAAAATGTTCACTTACAATATTTCATCACTATAAGGTGTTTCAATATCTTTAACTCAAATACATGACTAACGAGGGCTGAATGTCAACCAAGATGGATGTGAAATTACGACTCTTCAACAGTAGATGAAAGTCACTATTTGTACATCAACAAAACCATACTTTCTGCACCTTTTGTGGAGCTACAGTATATATATATATATACCAGAAAACCATAGTTTCTGT